AAAGTGAAATGCATGTTTGGACCAAGCCTCATGACCACGCATTGGTTAAAATGCTCGACATAGGCAATAAGAGGTATCACAAGATTTTGGTGGATATTGGTTGTTCGGTTGATATGAATTTTTCGTGGATACTTTAAGTAGAATGGGTGTTTCGAAGCCAATATCAAGAGACCCCCAAGTCCTCTACTCTCCTTCACTAGTGAAACTTTAATGTCATTGGGAAGAATTATACTACATGTATCAGCTTGAGGAGTTGTGAAATGGTCGAGTTCACAGTTTTTGACCGACCAACGGCTAACAATATCCTTCTGGGAACCCCATGATTATTCGAAATTAAAGTAGTACCTTCAACATATTATCAATGCGTGAAGTTTTCTACGAAAACTAGGGTGGTGCAAATTCTGGGTAATCAATGAGATCTCGCACAAGCGCAATGTTGATCCTACTTTCAAACCCGTAAAACAGAAGCGAAGTAGTCAAATTACTCGACGCCGGTCTAATTTGCAAAGTTCAATATCCTGACTGGCTCGCAAATCCTGTAGTGGTTAAAAAGAAAAACGAGAAGTGGCGAGTCTGTGTAGATTTTATTGATCAAAACAAAGCTTGCCCCAAGGACAACTTTCCATTTCCTCACATCGACCGCCTTGTAGAATCCACAACTGGTCACGAGATGCTATCTTTCATAGATGCTTTTTCAGGTTATAATCAGATTTTGATGAATCCGAAGGATCAAGAAAAAACATCTTTCATTACGGTTCGCGAGACCTATTGAGATAAGGTCATGCCTTTTGGCTTGAAAAACGTTGAAGCTACGTACCAACGTCTAGTAAACCGAATGTTTCAGGATCTCCTCGAAAAAATTATGGAAGTCTTTGGTTTTGACTTTGCACATGGGGCATTTAAAAGAATGTTTTGCCATTTTGAATCAGTTCATAATGAAGTTGAATCCGTCTAAATGCACATTTGTTGTACCTTCGGAAGAGTTCTTGGGATATATAGTCACAGAGCGTGGAATCAAAGCAAATTCAAACCAACTCAACGCGTTTCTTACTAAACTTCTCTAAGCAACATCGGTAAGGTTCATCGTTTCACTGGGCGGATTGCGGCCGTAAACAGATTCATTTTCAGGTCAAACGATAAATGCCTTCAATTTTATAACTTGCTTCAGAAGGAATACATGATGGCATTTGCGGTAATCATTCTAGAAGTCCGTCCTTAGCAATTAAAATCTAGAAGTACAACTATTGTTGGCCAACTCTGATCACGGATTGCGATTTATGTTTAGAAGTGAGAACAGTTACAAAAGCATCCTCCTTTTATCCATTAACCCACTTAACATTTGTCTTCGATATCCGCATCTTACCCATTTACGAGGTGGTATATGGATATTGTTGGGCCTCTTCACAGATTTACACGCGGAGTGAGCTTCCTTCTGGTTTTAATCTATTATTTCTTGAAATGGGTAGAGGCAGCAACCTGCACAAACATAGCTCATGTCCAAGTTTAGAAGTTCGTATGGCAGGAAATCCGAAATCATCGGCAGACACAGTTTGCTTTATGAAATTGTTATTGTAATGGCTCGTTGTCCATCTCCAATCAGTTCGAGTCCTTCTGTGAAACTTGGAGAATTAGACTTAGCAAATCTACACCTCACTATCCGTAAGGAAATGGCCAAGCCGAAGCCATGACCAAAACAATCCTTGCAAATTCAAAAAAGAGGCTTAAGGAGCATAAGGTTGCTTGTTTTAACGAGTTGCAAAGCGTCCTAAGGGCTAGCCGTACTACTCCCTATGAGAGCTACATGCAAAACCCCATGTTCACTTGTTTATGGAATGGGGGTAGTCATTCGAGCTGAAGTTTTTGTCTCAAATCCGAGACGAACAGAAAATCCTCAAAACAAAGCCGCGAATAGTTTGCTACTAAAACGTTGCCGCTCGCTATTATAACTCTAATATCCGCAAAAGATGTCGGAACTCTTGTTCCCATAGAGTCTAGCAAAACACAGCGGAACACAGAGCTAGGAAGTTAGGCATCAATTGGGAAGGTGTAACACCCGCGATCCTCAATAGGATCGCCGGGGAAGACTTGGTTCGAGGGAAGTGTGGAAACCTCGGGCTAAGTCTAAGGGAAGCGGATAGAATGGCTTCCCAAGTGCTTAACAAGCTGAAACGAGCTAGAAGTGTTGAGCTAACCAGCTCGACTAGCTGGACCAGCTGATTGGTAGCTCGACTAAGCTGGACGGAGTGAAGGTCAGCTAGTCGAGTGACAGTCTAGCTAGGTCAGCTGGTCGGGTGGGAAGGTAGTAAGGCGGTTGGGTTGACGGTTACGTACGTTGGCCGAACAGACACGGACGAACGGTTACTCAAACATGCATGAATGAGCGGTTTCAACGAATATATGCGAACAAGCGTTCCCACCAAACGGGCACCTTTGGGGAAAACGGTTTTATCCGTAAACACTATAAATAGAAGGCGATTCCTTCATTTTTCGGACACGCTCAAACACCTAAAAATCCAGAGGAAACTAAGGCATTTGCCGAGAGGAATACGGTTAAAAGGAGAGTTTGCGGAGCCGAGCGTTCTATCGGCGATCAAGAGAGGCAACACGGATCATTCACCGATCGAATCCGTGTAGTCAAGGTGGGTGTAAAGCCGTGGTAATGCCTCGGAGATTACGATCTCCGGACGTGCGGATGGTATAAGGGCTAGGATATTGTGGGTTGCTTGATTAGTTCGTTGATCGGCCTAGTCATTCATGAGCATATTCATATCGTGCATACTTTGGGAGGAGTAACGGTTTGGTTGAGACGGGGAGGCGGCTCGGCAAGGAATCGGCGGATCCGCGAGGATCTACCGGTTCTAGGCCGAACTGATGCGCTTACTTCCTCTCTCCGATCCGTTTTCCGGACCAAAGGATTATTAGAACGTATAGTGCATTGCATGGACTTGCATCCACTAAGTAAAAGACGTGTACTTATGTC